TTACTTTTTAGTGTACTGTTTTTTTTGAGAATATTTTGTTTTTGGTGTATTTTGTTTTGTTTTTAGTGCATTTTGTTTTGTTTTTTTCTTATGTAATTACCGTAATGTCTCGATATGCGTGCAAAAATTTGTCAAGATAGCCCCCTACATCAAACACGAAAGAGTAATACACCCCTATACTTTATATCGCTTCTCGTTAAAACTATATTTACTTTATTAGGTACTTAAACATTTGCAATCATTTTGATTTCTATCCTTAACAGTTGTATTTCCCCGAGTGCATAAATAATGAGTGTACGACTGGTCTTATCAATTGGTTTTCCTTTTAGTGATATGTTACTGTACTTGTACTTAGGCGAGTTTCCTGAGGAGATACGGGTACTTGCCAGAGGTGCAGGGCGATATAGGTTTCTCATACACGCCGCAGTCGATAGCGGAGGCTGTCAAAAAGATGCAGCAGTTCGCAGGACTACCGGCAACAGGGAATCTCGATGAAGAAACGAGGAGCGTACGTTCATAAATACTTCTAAGAAAACTTTATATCTGAACCCGCTACGTTCAGTCACTGGATATATAAACATTTTGCAAATATTTCCCAACAACAATTGCTTGTTTGCTGTTGTTTGTTGTTGAAAATTTTTATTTTCTTCAAAATTCTATCAGGCTTTTCGACCAGTTAGTACATAGCGATGACTCGTTTTGCTGATAATAAACTGATACGTTGTTACAGTTGTTTAAGAAGAAGCGTTGCGGTGTTAAGGACATAGAGAACAGTCCCAGGTCCCGCAGGTACATCCTGCAGCAGGGATGGGGGAAGAAAGCCATTACTTATAGGTAAACTAACGCTAACAAATAGAAACGGACATCTGTAAACTGTAGCACTTCAAGTAAGGTTACATATTGAATGTACCTTTTTTAAAATCTGCCGATTACATTTGGACTACCGGATGACATAATGGATAGCATCATCATAAACCTAACACCTGCGCACAATATTATTCAGAAAATAAAAATTATTGTCACTTTATTTTTTTAACGTGGGGTCAGAGTGTTGAACGGTTCGAGTACGTTGGAGAGAGAGCGCGTGCGGGCTCTGATGGCGCTGGGGCTGGCGGTGTGGGCGCCACACGGGGGGCTGCACTTCAAGCAGTTGGACGAAGGACATGCTGACATACAAGTCTCTTTCGCCAGCAAGGACCACGGGGACGGGTCAGTAATACTCAAAGATACTTCAGAGAAGATCATGCAGTTCACTACAAGTGTAAATAACACATAGCTTTGTAACGTAGGTTTCCTTTTGACGGGCCAGGTCGCGTGGTCGCGCACGCGTTCCCGCCGCCGCACGGCGCCATGCACTTCGACGACGATGAGGTGTGGGGCGACGGCGACAGCGATGACGCCGCCGACGATGACGTCACCGACTTCTTTGCAGTCGCCGTGCACGAGATCGGACACGCGCTCGGACTCTCGCATTCCAACGTGAAGGCCTCCGTCATGTACCCCTACTACCAGGTCCCGGTCGAAAAGCTGCATATGGACGATATATTAGGCATGCAGGAGCTCTATTGTAAGTAACTCGGATAGCGCTTTATTAAGCCAATTTCACATGTGTCTTGTGACACTTGTTATTTACTGCGAAGTGTCTTAAGCATTACGTTATTTTTATTAAAATCTTCACTGTTCTCTTGTTACTCTAGTGAAGGAGGAGTTACCGAGTTCTGGTGAAAGTACGGAGCGCGCGTCGCAGTCTTCGCTGGCGCCGCACTTCACACAGACCGCCGATAGCCGCGAAGAGGACCTGCCCGACCTCTGCCTCTCGCACTACGACACCATACAGGTCATATACGACAAGATATACGTCTTTGAAGAAGAGGTACGTATTTCTAACAACAAGTTTAACCAGTCCGCTTATATCTAGATATATATGTAGAAATCTTCGAAAAACATCGGTTAAATCATAAAATTAATGCCAATAGAGACCTATTATTAATGTAGGCTTAATAATGACATTTATCTCCGCAACCGCCGAGTTCAACATCCGAGTGCAACGCGCAGATAACGACCACATAACATTAAATGCAAAAAAAGAGAAAAAAAGACTTTACAACACATTTATGCGATCTAACCGCAAAGGAAGTTAAATCTTCTGTTCAGATACAGGTTTTAAAGTTGTTGGTAACCTTCCGCAGTGGGTGTGGGTGTTCAGAGACCGTCGCGAGCTGGAGGAGGGCTACCCGCGCCGCATACACGACGTGTTTATCGGCCTGCCCAAACACGTGCAGTTTATACGTGCCATCTACCAGAAGATAAACGGAAACATTGTCATCTTCTCTGGTATACTGCCACTATGAATTATGTTATATTCGATGTTATATATCTTGTAAAATTGTAGTGAAACGGAACGTGTTTGTTATAGGTCGTAACTACTGGGAGTTTAGCCGTCGCTTCCGGCTTGTGCGTCGCGGGCGCGCGGCCGAGTTCGGTCTGCCGCGACGTATCGAGCTGACTACAGCCTTCCTCTCCAACTACAACAACCGCACATATCTTATCAGCGACGACCATTTCTGGCGCTACGACGAGCGACGTGACGCCATGGACCGCGGCTATCCCAAGCATATGGCGGCCTGGAGACGCATACCTAGCCCGGTAGAGGCCGCCATGGTGTGGAAAGGAGGTAATTTGGCTATTTACTTTAAATAGGACATCACAAATCTATTGAATCATTTAATACCAGCTTTTGCTCGCGACTTCGTCCGCGTCAAATAAAAAAAAGTTAATTATGAAAGAATTTTTGAAATCCGACTAGTTTTTGAGTAATTTTAATACATACAAAAATGCAAATCTTTCCCATTTATAATATTAGTTTTTAAAGACTAGTACTGGTATGGCCGAGTAATCGCAGTTGCGAAACTATTTTTTTTTAAATTCCTTATTCTATTCAAGAGCCTTTTCCTATAAAGAAAAATTTAGCTATCAGAAATGTTTTCTGTTATATATACAGTGTCAAGTTTGATTATAAAAATAACACTTATTGCAGACACGTATTTCTTCTGCGGGCCGCGTTTCTGGCGCTTCGACAACGAGCGTGTGGAGGCACACGCGTATTACCCGCTGCCCACTGCGCAGATCTGGTTCCCGTGTGATTCCACGCCAGAGATGAACAAATACCTTACAAATGACGAATCTTAACATGCAAACTTTACGCGCGGTTCACACTTGTCCAGTACAGTTAAGTAGCACTCAATAACTGAACAGGCAATCAAACTGTACTGGACACATGTGAACCTCGCATAATCCGTCATTTGCGCGTTTTACTTCACTCCAGTGAACCAGTGCATTCATGACGTTTTAACACATGTCTTTTTATTCATTTTTATTTTGTATTTTTCGATGTAATTTTATATTAAGATGTGAATCAAATAAAATTAAGGATAATGTTTGCAGTTTTTTTTTCCTCAATAGAAAATATCTTCGTCATTGTTAAATCGCATAATTGGGTTTTAGCGGAAATAAAACATACTTTAAGGAGACGTAACTTTTATTAAGTTTTAAACCACATTTACAGAATAAGCAAATGGAAAGATTTCAAATCATGGAATAGTAAACGATGCAAATAATACTGTTTTTATAATCACATACATTAAATATCAAGAAATATTAACAATAAAACTTTATTTTTGTACTATGAGACTAACAATAGAGAATATCTTTTTTACCACATTCAGCCAGTAATCATTTATGAAATAATTTTTACTCTGTTCTATACATTTTTTAGTCTATGGTAAAAATGTTTTACAAAACATTGAAATTTTTAAGTTATAGTAGAGAGAAATAACCTGTAACCGAGTTAAACTTTCAAAGAATAACCACTATTAACTGCCTTCGTTTTTTTTTTATTATTTTTTGGCTCTCACACCTAGTGTTAAGCCAACCGCGCTTAGCAAGCAATAAAAGAAAGTCTTAATGGTAAATAAATTTAATTCAATTATTTGTTCAAATGCTCATTTGTGACAGAATCTTTTTCACAATCAACAAATTCGAATAAAGTTTAAAACATTATAAATAATTGATTTTACTTTACATATTGGAATATTGTCTATGTTGGTCGTGTGGGGAGAGAGGGGAGAGAGGGGAAAGTGCGATTGGTAGTTGGGGGATGTCTAGCTGCAGCAGGAGGCGGGGTTGGGGTCCTTGCCGGAGCGCTTGGTGATGTTGAGCCTGGTGAACTCCTCGGCGACAGTTGGGTGGATGCCCACCGTGTTCATTAGCTGCTCCATTGTGAGGCCACATCTGGTGAAAGGAAAACAAGCATCTTTAGTTCTTTTGTCTATTTTAACCTAGATAAAGATGTATAAAAAGTTAACTAATACGGTAAATAGATTTTTTTTATTTTAATTAAGATTATTTTAATCATAAAACAGCAAACTTATTTTTTATCGTAAGTCGAAATTGCGAAGCAACCGCTACCTACCCACATTTGCAACGCAGACGCTTTACCACAATTAGGTAACATACAGTTTAGGGGAAGGGGTAAAAAGGTCATATTTTCCCTTTCTGTGCCCCTACCACTGTTAAATCCAGTTTCCAAAGAAAACTATAGGGCAAAAATCTAAAATTAGGACTCCGGAACGCATACACGTCGTTTTTAGTTAGCCGACTTCGCCAAAACAGCGAATCGACTGTTGGAACTTGGAACGTGTAAATGTGTCGTGTACTGACTTGATGGCGGCGGCGAAGCCCTGTATGACCTCTCCGGCGACCGGGCCTACGAAGTGCAGGCCGAGGACCTGCTGCGGCGGCGCGCGCTCCGCCACCGCCTTCAGGTAGCAGTTGCGGATGTTGCGCTGCGGGATGAAGAACTCTGTCGGCTTGTAGTACGCGTGGTACACCTCTACTGCGTCCTCGCCCAGTCTGTAATACAAATTATGGAATAAAACGATTATTAAAAAAACAAATATATGTATTGTTGTTTTTATAGATTATAAAAAGATAAATTGCACAGTGATCCTGTGTATTCCTGTCCAGAGTGTGAAATAGTCCTGTTTTAAGCAAATGTTTGGTTCACTGTAAAAACCTACTGGATAGTTTTGTATATTGGAATATAATACGACCAAATAACCACGCACTGCTTGTAAGTAAAATAATTGAAATTCGGTCAACCAGAAACGAGGTTTAAACTGCTTTTCCACTAAAGGACTAGGCACTAGCAAACACTACTTTCATCAGGAAATTATAGTGTTCGCATTAATTGCTTTAGTAATTTTGTCAAACTTTTGCAACTACAAAAAATAAATAACGCTAAATCATGTTATATTTTAGATTCCACAAGAAATACGGTAATTTTTTTTTAATAAATTTTTTATTAGTGTTACTGACCTCGCCACCGCTGCCTCCTCGCTGAGTCCGACGCAGCCGTACTCGAGCGGGGTGAAGACGGTGGTGGCGACGTTGTCGTAGTCCATGTGGTGCGGCGCGGCGGCGAACAGCCTGCGCGCCAGCAGCCGCCCCGCGTGGATCGCCACCGGCGTCAGCTCCGGCCGCCCCTCCAGCACGTCCCCCACCGCGAAGATGTGCCCCACGTTCGTCTGCTCCGTCGGCGCAGAGATCTTACCACTCTCAGTCACCACCTACCAACATTATAATTAAATTTTATTAATTACCCCTTTGGGCAGAGGACTGATGTCCAAAGTAAGGTGGCGCCCTGTGTCCCCGTCCCACAGACTACAATGAAAACTGACAAAACATAAAATACAAAAAAAACTTCTATACAAGTTAACATTTTAAATCATTACACTTTAGATCTAATAATAAAATGGATAATTACAGCATAAAATAGAGAACATCGAATATTATCAAATCTGAAAAACGATATACCCAGATATTTTTTTTATATAGTTATTAATAGAAACCATTTACAATAGATTTCTCATTTAATGTTGTTTTGATTTAAATTTAATGTTAATTTCTACTTTCTTGTCGACTGTTCGTAAGTAAATAAATGGGGTAGGTAGCACTCACAGTGACGCCGGCGGCCGGCAGGTTCAGTGCCTTGGTGAGCGCATAGCGGCCCGTCGCCATCAGCACCGTGTCGAACACGTCCTCTGATCTAAACATGCAAATATTCCTTTTAGAAACACAGATATTTCTAACCTATCTATACTAAAATCCTAAAGAAAAAGAATTTGATTTTTTATACGTATCCAAATAACTCAAAAATACTACAAATACTAGTCTTTACAAAAAGAGTACTTTTGGAATTACGTATGTATTGAAATAGCTCAAAAACTATGAACCAATTTCAAATTCTTTCACCATAAAAATGCTACGTTATCGCTGAATCATGGGCTACATTTTTTACTATTGCTTAGTTTAACATGGACGAAGTCACGAGCAACAGCTAGTCACTGAATAATCACAAACATGATCTACTAAATATAGCACATATTTAAAATGTTAAGATTTAAGAAAAGTAAGTATAACTGACTGTTCCCCTGTATCGGTGTTCTGCCACCGCGCCTTGAGCTGTCCGCTCTCGAGTTTCTCAACGGAGAGAGGCACACACTTGTGATGGAAGCGGACACCGCGCTCCTCCATCTCCGCCGTCACCAGCTGTGCCATCTGCTGGTCGAACCCACGCAGCGGCACAGACCTCACCAGCACCGTCGCGGAGTACCCCAGAGAGTTCAGGAAGCCCGCGCATTCCAGACCGATGTCTAGACAATAATTACAAAGATCAGCCCTTCATACACAGAAGTCTATGGCCAGAAGGTCCCTTTGTAGCCATTTATTAAACTTATTTAGAAAAGGAGCTATTAAAGTTTTTCTGTCAGCTTGTAATACAATCACCCCCAATGTAATCTTGAAATCTCACTAATATTAAAATAATATTAAAAAAGTTTGTAACCTAAACTACTGTACGTATCTAGATCATAGTCAATACATAGGCTACTTTACACATTAGTTCTTTAATTCTACGCAGACGTAGTCGCGAGAGAAGGCTAGTAAATATATATACTCACAACCAGCTCCGACGACGAGCGTCTTGCCCGGTGGATACGACAGGCTGAAGATGTCATCGCTGCTAATACAGTATTCCAGCGCACCAGGTATGTCCGGATAGTGCGGCCGGCCGCCAACCGCTATCACAACGTTCTTAGCCGTCAACTCCTTTTTGCTGCCATTCTTTAGTGTCGCCACTATCGTATGCGCGTCCTTAAACTCTCCTAAACCGTTAATGTATTCAATCTTCTTATCTCTAAGGTCGACTCGTGTCACCCAGTTGACTGATTTGATGTGGTTCTGTACAGCTTCTGTTAACGAGGTCCAGTTGATCTTGATGTCTTTAGGAGATGGCACTTCCCAGCCGTATGACACCGCTTCCTAAATAAAATACCATAAATACTATTGCTGAGTTTGTTAAGCAATTTCTACATTACAATTAACACCTTCAATGCCACTGACTCGCCTGGCGAATTAATTATAGGAAAATGTAGTGGCATGGAACGTGTTGAAAACGTGTCCCCAACGAATAGTTACATGAAATATTAATAGAAACAAAGTTGAAGGTGAACAGAAAATCAATAACATAACAAGAATAGCTAGAAGGCAATTATTGTTCATTATTTTTTACTTTGTATCATTTTCTATACAAAGAGCAGTTACAAAGACTCAGTATATTATTTACACTGAAGAGCAACTAAGATGTTTTTATCAACATAATGTCAGGTTTTATATTTACAAACGTAGTTTAGGCACATAGTTAAAGTGGTTACTGAAAAATTGCACTGACTGTTATACATTTACAAATAAGACATTTATCATATAAAATACACTTTTTTTATTACAAAAACATATAATTGTTTTATCAACTACATTAGACTTGTCAGTCTTACGAACCGGATAGCTAACATTTTTCAATAAAGAAGTAGGTAATTCGACCTTAAAATGGTTTTAACCTTGGTAGCAAACTAATTCGATTCCCTCGTGACTTCGATACAACATTTTAGTCACAGGTTTTTTACTCTATGTCAAAGCTGCACAAAGTTGGAATTAAATGAGTTTAGTTATCTAAGAAAACGGCCTTAGTTTTGATAAAAACGGAGTACAGAATACATATCAAGATACTGTACCCACAGACTAACGAAGGAACACGTCTATATTATATTTGTGGGCGTCGCCAGTGGGGGGCTAGAATATATAGATACACAGACAACTATATAAGACCACTTTAATATTAGCAGCCCCTTTGAAATCAACCTAGATCGAGGCTAGCGACGTCCATCATCGTATTTCCTCATTTAATTACAATATAGGCGTTTCAAATGATGAATCAAATAACAATTACACTGCATACAAACAATATTACATAACATCCTACATTAACGGGAAACATGTATGTATTAATTACTATTGTATAAGTTATAAACGTGATTGCAACACGCGGTAATATGCACAGTCATGTTATACATCATCGGTATATTCACACTCAGCGTATATGTTTTAAATGATAACAACTGTACGCTAATATTTTCTACAATATCTTGTGTACTGGAAATATAATCCGAATATCTGAGAAAAATATCTTTAACACAATTAACATTTTTATATTCGAGTTAAAAACACAATAAACTAATTAAAACACTATTTATAACAAATTATCTACTAACAAGAAATTACTACGATGTGTTTCATATAAACGCTGATAAGTGGGTAATATGCATCATCTTTACTCTCTACCAATATAATAAAGCGTAAACACACACTACTTCGTGGCGTAGGATGTCAGCAATCACAATATCTTTTTGAATAATTATTTGTTTAATAAAAAGCCCTACAATCACGACACGTTTTAAACTATACAATTTTCCGCTATTAATCTTTGGGGGGGGGGGGGTAACTAATTTGGAAAAAACCTTATATTAAGGAAGCCATGTTATTATGGTAACGGTAATTTTGATATTTGCAATTGAAATTTTGAATTTGACAAATGTAAACAATAAAAGTTATTATAGTTACACGCGGATGAAGCCGCACGGGAACAGCTAGTTAGTTAATATAGTGACAAGTTGTCGCACCACATTAAGGATGCAGTTTAGAAACACAGAAGTATTATTACACTATGACTCATACTACCATAGAAATTATTGTTTTTTAAACATCGAGTTCTACTAATTGCAACATACTCGTATGACTTCCATACAATAACATATTAAAATCTTACCAATCTTACCAATCCTACCAATATTATAAATGCGAAAGTTTTGATGGATGGATGGATGTTTGTTAGCGTTTGTAGCCTAAACGGCCGAACGGATCTCCATGAAATTTGGCACAGGTTTAGAGCATAGTCTGGAAGAACACATAGACTACTTGTTATCCCGGAAATAGTTAAGGTTTCCGTGGGATTCATTAATTTAGTTTCTTAATGTTTACTCGATCATTCTGAAACGGTTCAACATATCTTATTGAAATTTGGCACAGATATATCTGGAGTACACATGGGATAAGCTTCATCCCCGAGAAATGTCCGGTTCCCGAGGAATACGTAGCTTTTTATAATTTATATAGTTCGTATGTTTTCTAATACCAGGCGGACAAAGTTGCGGGCAACTGCTCGTAGTACATAATTTAATCATAAACTATCTTAGAGCACTCATATTTAAATTACCCAAAAGATGGAGGTTCTTTTTTCAACTGTGATTGCTACGATAAAATAACGAGCCGGTATCGGCATTAGGGTAAGGCGCGGCTGTGCCTTCGCCCAGTATAAAATGGGCGCCACAGGTCCGTCAAGAAATATCGGTATTTTGAAACTATCTGAACATTATACGACATATTAAGGAAATTCTGTGCTTTAACCATATTACGTGGTAAAAGCAAAATGACACATAATTTTGGTGGAAAAGCAGACACGTAATTGTGGTGGTTACTCACTATAAGGGTAAGTTATATTTTTTAGGGGCAATCCGAAAATTAATGTAATAATTTATATATATATTCTGAAATTAGCTGTTGCCCGCGACTTCGTCCACGCAATATTAAGATAATAAAGTAGCCTATAATATGCCCGTCTTTGTCAGCTACCCTACAGTGATAGTCCGGTCGAAATGGGCACAGTTGTTTTGGAGATTCCCAGGAACAAACGCGGCTTGTTGACAGACAGACAAACAGGCAAAAAATGTTTAAATGCGCTTTTCGCTATCAGCAACGCAAATACATAATTCAGAAATCTGGGATATATATTTTGATATTACAAACAGACACTCCAACTTTATTGTATGTATATTCAAGACCCAATTTGCTGATATAATGTTGTAAAAATTTTCATCATTGTTAGATACATATTCTCACAATATATTATACTTGTATATATTTTTTTTAATACTCAAACATGGAAATTAATCTGCAATATTTTCCCACCACCCAAAGATTACATTTTCAATACTTTAAAAGAGTTTTTGTAACTTCAAATGTACTGGAAACTATATATTTAAAATACAAAGTGTACTTTGGACTTGACAACAGATGGTCTATGGCATATATTTAGACCAGAGAAAGATACAAATTAATTAAATATACTGTCGCTTACATTTATATTAACATGTATATAAAACTAAACATAACTGGTAGATGTTGCAATATTTCAATTTTCAACCATATCTATTTAGCTGTTCTGGAGTTAACATAACTTTCAATTAACCAAACTTTTTCATATCTATACTAATATAACACAGCATAAACACACTACTTTGTGGCGTAGGATGTCAGCTATTACAACTTTTAACTTAGGGAGTAAATAGATTATATCAGCAAACTAATTTAAATCCCTTTCTCTTTACCACCCTTTTCTTATAAGAATAGGATGGGAAGGGAATTGGATTTGACAGAAGAGGAGATACATAGGAAGGGGAAATATCCTCTTTATGTGCATCTCCTCTGTCAGATAAGGGTAGGCAACGCATCTGCAATTGCGGATGTCTATGTACAGCGGTCGCTGCGCCATTTTGGCGGATCAGGTGGCCGCTTGCTTGTTTGCCACCTTTTGTTATAAAAAAAAAAGATTGGAAAAAACTTTCATGTGGGAAAGGGACCATAAACCACAACCTGCCAACATGAAGCTAGGTTATTATGGTAATGGTCACTTTGACTTTTGCAATTGAGAATTTAAAACTAAAAATAAAGTTTTTATAATTTAATGCAGATGAAGCCGCATGGGAACAGTTAGTTATTAATATTTGAATATGAATAGGTATATAAACTGTTTTAGGATAATAATAATAAAGAATTATAAGAACTCTTACATCATTTTCTACATTGAAACCAATATCAATAACACTTAGATTTGGTTCAATGCCAACTTCAATAGCAATATTTGATAAGATTATTAATAAATATTCACTTGTTTCTATCTACATGGAGTTAAATAGTATAGACTAGCTTTTCTAGCGGCTTCATCCACATGGAATAATAAAACTTTTCTTATTGTTTACATTTGTCAAATTATCAATAGCAAATGTCAAAATAACATGACATGACAAACCTTGGCAATCTTGCTTCCTTGATGTTGGCTGCAACTTACGGACTCTTTCCCACATTAGAGTTTTTATCCAAAATATATACCCCCTAAGTTCAATGGCGTCAAAATATATAGCCTAAAGCGTGACGAAGTGTAGGGCTTCTTATTAAGAAAAAAATATTCAAAAATATGCTGTAATTGCTGACATCTTAGGCCACAAAGAAGTGTGTATTTACGCTTTATTATAATAGTATAGATAACTAAACAGTAAAATAACCACAAATCATTTCATCTAGCTAAGGGTTTTAAATCCAAGATAGGGTTTAGTAGGCCTGGGGCTAAATTATAAATGCTACAAAATACAAAACTGTGAGGCTAGTTAATGTGGAACTAAGTTTAATATGGATATTTAATGGTTTCTTTATGAATTCTTGCATTAATTACCACTAGTAATTTATTTTTCTACTTCTCATAGATAAACCAAAATACCTACATAATATTATAACTATGTTTTAAACATTTTACATTTCTGTAAACATACATAAAACTAATAAGTTTTTTTTGAATCAAAATCAGTACCAAATAATCCATATCATGCGAGACCAGGATCAAAGGAATTAATGTTGAAGGAAGGTCCATAGAACACTTACCATTTTCTAAAGAAAAAATGAAAATAAAAGTCAATGTCACAGAATTAAATTCTTAGAAAAATAAAAATATAAACATCACTGTTTAATCAGTTCAAAAATTTCAATAACCACTTTAACACTCTAATAAATGTCATATGAATATATAAATAATAGATGGTACTCACATGTATACTTTCTCCGAGAAGAGCAGCCTGGTGCATCAACTTCTTGGGTATACAACCAACATTAACACATGTACCACCCAGGCCCCATTTTGTGCCCAGCGGCGAAGGGGTTACATAATCTAACACTGCCACTTTTGCACCATGGTTAACAGCTTCTTTCGCACAGGCCAAGCCTCCAGAGCCTCCACCGATAACCGCCAGGTCATAGTCAAATGTGCCATCTAGAATGTTGGGGTTTTCCCTTACAATAATATGGAATTTTGTTCCTATATTTTATTTTCATCAATACATTATCATTGATCAATACTTTTGTTAAAAGTAAATACTATCGTCATCATATAAGACAGAATTCTCTCATTCTAATAGGTTTAATATTTTGGATAATATCATAAATGTAGAGATTTTTAGGGTTTTACTATGATAACACATGAGATTATATGGAATATTTTATAATAACTGAACTGACAAAGATGACGAAAGTGTTTCGAAATTATGAAAAAAAAAATGTTTGCAAATGAAATATAGTGGATTGTAGACTATTTCTATCAATCTCATATCGACGAGACTTTGAATAGTTCATAAACATTGAAAATTCAAACAAAAGTTTTAGTTAGGTTATGAGGTACTTAACATTTCAAGGCCAAATTTACAATTACCACAAGTTACTTACGGCTCGAGAAGGTGCGTCGTGTTAATAAAAATATACTCTCAATCCTTTGTAAAGGCCTGTTTGAGTTCGAAATCTTTAGAAAATTGCTTAACATTGTCATATTGACGTATGACATTTACTACCACAATCTACAAATAAGTGTACACTTGCACCTATGCAAACATTTTTGTTTTACGTAGCAAATTCACAACTATACTGAACTTCGCAAAATGAAAACCGTGCTTATCACCGGAGCTAACCGCGGTCTAGGCCTCGGAATGGTTAAATATCTCACAAAGCAAAAGAAGGCTGAAAAAATCTTCGCCACTTGCCGGAATGCATCTGAGGTATGTAACGTTAAACAACTACTCACCAATTGGTGCCATTGTCACTTAAAATTCAAGTACAGAATTGAATATGTTAATCTAATAGTTTTTAGACGTCTTCCCAACAACTAAGCTTGTAAAAAATTACTTCTGCTCAATGGAATGAACTAATAAAGGCTCGTTTTTAGAAGTTACAAGTGCGTGCGAAAGAGACGAATTGCTTCGCACAACTGACAGCTGACGTCACTTGATTATGACGTATATACCCATGTTCTTTGATTCTTAGTCATTGGCTTCATTTTTTTTGTAATCATTAAAGTTACACAAAAAGTATATTTTTATGATTGATAAATCTTAAAACTAAAATTTAAATCATATAAAGGCAATTTATGTACAATAACCTGTTTAAATATTATTTCATATACATTCCCATATGTAGGAAACCCTTAAAGTTTCCTTTCACTTAAAATCTTAATAATATTTTAAAATATATAAATTAAATATTACATTTTCAGGAACTTACGAAGCTTTCGGAAGAACATCAAAATCTCCATATCTTACATTTAGGTAATCTCAGTATTTGCGTTTAAATTAAATTTTAAAGTAAAATGTTTGTGGATTCCAGTACTTAAGTTTATATGTTTTTACCAGATGTTAAAAAGCTCGAATCTTATGGAGATTTTGCATCGAAGATAAAACAATTAGTAGGCAATGATGGCCTAAACCTACTTGTTAATAATGCTGGAGTGACAACAAAATTCACCAAACTTAGTCTTGTAAAGGAGGATCAATTATTAGATAATTTCACCGTAAATACTGTCGCACCTATACTGTTAACCAAGGTAAATAAAACTAAAAAATGATTATAAAACACAGCATCTTATACATGTAAAAAATTATAATAATAAACCAGTGACCTTGAAACACGTCATGAATATATAAATTACATATTGCACAATGTTGCATTAATCTAAATCTTACCCAAGTATTACTTAAATACTCAACGTTGCAATGCCGTTTGCTGTTCCAATTTATTTGCAATAAACAAAAATTGTCTACTAATAGTCGCCAAATATATCATTTGATAAAATACATAACAATACAAAATCCACTTTGTCATTTTAGACTCTTCTGCCACTCTTGATACAAGCTGCCGATGTAAATAGCGAAAAACCGGTTGGAGCGAATCGCGCCGCGGTCATTAATATGAGTTCAGTTCTAGGATCCATAGCACAAAACGATCAAGGAGGTTTTTATCCGTATCGATGCTCAAAAGTAAGAATTTTACTATGATCGTGTAACTTTAAAATCCACATATTATTTTTGACGCAAATATACTTGACAATATCTATGTTTTCAGGCTGCTTTAAACGCGGCAACAAAATCGATGAGTCTAGATTTGAAAAAAAATCAAATCCTCGTGGCTTGCATGCATCCGGGCTGGGTGCGGACCGACATGGGCGGGAAAAATGCGCCGCTAGATGTCGATACAAGTATCAATGGAATTTTCAATACAATAAACAAACTAGGTGAGGAGGACAGTGGAAAATTTCTACAATATGATGGAAGTGAACTGCCGTGGTAATAACAATGAAGTTTTGAAATTCCCATGATTAAAGTTTGATAATATGATGATGTTAATAATTGCGGATGTAAACCTACAGGTGCTATAAATTATTTTTAAGATGAGTAATTTCTGATTATAAGCCTTATTAGAAAAAGTTGGTACGCTTTCGGGCTTTTGTTTTGGGTTGTTGTAACCAGGTGATGGTAGATAAATAGGTCAATATTTATAACAGCAATAAAAAACAAAAATAAAAAAGTTGTTTTTAGATATTTTGCACTTGTTTTTGTAAATATATTTTATCGATTTTACTTACCCTTTAATACTTTCCAAAATCGTATCATCACTACGTTCTGTTTCCTTCTTGAAAATTATTTTACCGCATAATTTAAAAATTTGACTTTGACAATTTCTACAATATCGTACGTTTTGAAATAGTTATAAATCATTATGACATATCAAATTATAATAAAACACCATAAAATACACACTTCAAAACCAAGACCGCGCTGTTGCTGCCAACTAGGGGATTTGAGGAACAAAATATCGAAAATAAATTCATGCTTTTTATAAATCCTTCATTCATGTAATTTATATCGGTCAATAGGAAAAAAATTAAAAGTCAAGTTATCCTAACAATAACTGTGACTACATACTATCTTCTGTTCGGAAACCAATCTTATTAGCAGTCTTGCGACCTGGTTTTGTTTGGAGCAAAGAAAATTCAGCACACTACATTATTAAACAATAGACTCTTAAAATTGAGGAAATAAAAATCTATTTATATATTTAATTGTAACTATAAAAAATTAACATTCGCTAGGGAAGTAAATACAATACAAATCTATAAATCTTATATGTAAAAATGCTTTTAGTTTTACTTACGTATCCACATGCGGCTGTAAGTGACAGCGAGTGCATTTTCTATCTCTGTCTCGTCCACTGCATCTTGGTAAAGCACGGACTTAATTTTTTCTAGAAGTTTATTAATTTATTCAACAACTAGCTTTCGCTCGCGACTCCGTCCGCGTGGTATTAAAAAAACAAAGGTGAATAGCCTATGTTTTCTTTCAGACTATCTTCTACATCTATACAAAATTTCATCGAAAACCGTTCAGCCGTTTAGTCTACAAATTCTAACAAACATCCATCATCATCCATTCATCTAAACTTTCGTATTTATAATATTAATATAAATTATAAAGTATGATTATATTCGTCACAGGTGCTGTGAACGCCTCCTCAACATCCCGTGTACTCTTATTATAAAACTTGGACGATGTGATATTATGTAATATATTTATTTGTACCTAAATTAATTTAATACAACAAAATCTAATCGCCACAAAGACCTTTTAGAATACTAGTATATATTGATGACTAGCTTTTGCCCGCGGCTCAAAAACTACTGCGCGGAATTTAGATAGAAAAATACAAATATAAATATAAATATTTCGTCTTTACAAATTTGTTATTGTAAAGTAACGGTCGTCCGCGCTGAACAAATAAAAATAGTAGTAGTGATTTAAATATTTCAATCATCCAATTAGTTAATTAGAAACATGCCATGCGGAATAGCTTATAGACAAAAACCTTTAAAATTTACTAGATGCGGGCGCAGTAATGCATTAGGAATGTAAAAAGTTGTCACGCATTCATAATTTCCGTTAGTTTGAACAATCGAGTGATATTTATTTCTAATAAACACTACAACTGATTCTATTAAGAAAATCATAAAAGCTTTAGATTCAATCGTGTTCAATTGACTTATTTTCTGGCTCATTCTATAAATATAAATATAAGCAGTAACTTCAGTTTTGGTGTATCTAAGAGCATAGCACAACTGACACAGTGCCATCCAAACTTTATGTCGTTTTCGAATTAGGCTTGACGCAATTTTAGATATCGTCGAGATGTTAAGTTAGTTGTCGTAGCAGCATCCCTAGGCGCATTTTTTTCTGTGACTCTGGCACTGAGCTACGTACAGTCAACAACAACCAACGATGTTTGAATAATATTATACTTTGTGCTTACTGCAGCGTGTTATCGACCGTAAGATACACAAGAACACGTCCGCATTGCCACCACCTGGTTGCTTACTATAAATTTACACTGCCGATACATTCATAGAAAGTTGTTGTGATTGCAGAATTTCAATTAAAACATAGTCTTTTATATAATTTTTATATAACTATTATATTCATAAGATCCATAAGCAAAGAACTTTCGACTATACCAAAAAAATATTCTTACTTACCAAAGCGATCGCAATTATCTCTATCTATACAAGTAATGTAAGTCATTTCATGCAATGAATCCATTGTACATAAAAAACTTTATTACTTCATAGAAAACTAGCTAAAATTCAACGTCGATAATTTTTTATCAACAATTACTTCTACAAAATGTAATGCTTTTAAATCAACGTCAATTTTGGCGGAAGAATATTTTTTGAATCACAGATTAATTACAGCAGTATAAATTATTTCTTAAAAATACATGAAAAGGATTATTTTTAAAACACCTTCATAAAAACGGGTCAAGAAGTTGATTCCGTTTAAATAAATAAGTATCGAAAGACGCAGACATGAAGTAAACATCATTTGTTAGTCAAAGTTTCGTAAATAGTTCATGAAAATATTGTCCCTGAAGTTGTTTGTGTCACAGCACCTTTTTCATGTTTTATCCAAATCCATATTCAGGTAAACAAGGTGAGAAATGTTACTGACTCTTGCGAAATGCATTCATTGAAAAAAAAAAATAACAGCCTCTATGGTCTGTTGTGATTTTTATACTCCTTGGTTCCGATGTTAAGGAAATTAAATTAGGCGGGAAAAAATTAAAGGGGAAGTAAAAAAACTATAGTTCATTATAATCGCTTACGCACTCGGTACTTATAACGCACTTTCGCCCGCGACTCCGTTCTTCAAAGCTATCCCTCACATCTATACCAAATTCCATCGAAATCCGTTCAGCCGTTTAAGCTACAAACTCTAACAAACATCCATCCATCCATCTAAACTTTCGCATTTATAATATTAGTATGATTACTATGATGTGATTTTACAGAGACATTCACATTGCTTTATAATTCATAGCATTTAAAACAACATTAGCGAACTGTGATTCATCGATGATAAACTAATCAGTCTGTAACACTTGATAATTTCGTTGAAATTAAATAACTTATATCGTATTAAAAAAATACAACGTTTATGATAATAGACGGGGTTTCGAAAATTCGTAATTAGCCAGGAGAAAATTGAAGTTACTCGTTTAACTATAAAATAAGTAATCGTCAGCAGAACTTCGAAATGTTTGTTTTTTTAGGTACTGTCGTAATCACTTATTCGGTTATCCTCGAATAAAAAAAATGGTCACAGGATGTAAACAAACAATACAAACCTACATGATGTTAGCGTAACCTACGTCAAGAGCTCAAGAGGCCTGGCGGCGCTGCAAGCGGCAATCGATTGTTCATTAATGTTTGAGTTTTCGCGCCAAGGTTACTTTGCAGTAGCATTGAAACCGTTACTATGTTTAACAAGTCATATAAACGTCGCCATCGACCATGGGATTACGATAATGCAGGATGCCTAAGGTAGAATAAGTAAATCAACATCTGGTAGACGACAAAAAATCAATCTCCACTCGAGAGCCTATCATAAAATAACTCATCATCATCAGCCTTTATCTGCCCAATGTTGGCAATAGGACGTACCCAATGCCTTCCACAGAATAAGGATAAGATAATTCGCCCACATCAAATTCAACATTTGTTCCACCACTGAACTACAATCATTCCCAAACACTGGCAACAATTTACTCGATGATAGCACATCATATTAAAAAGAGATAGATAGAAAAAGGAAATTTTGTATTATAATACTGTTTAATATCTTCAAAACAATGCCATTTATCTTGTTCTTTTAGCCATGTTTTTTGAGTATAACATAATAAAAAGAATAAAATAAAAGATTTGTATAGTTCGCCGAATTGAAATGCCACGACGAAATTTTTCAGGAAACAGTTTTTTTCGTAATTTTCAGCATACAGCGATTTTTTGATGCCATAGCAAAAGTGGAGCTGATAGTAGAAATTGGTTCAATCGTTGTGTTTGTTACAAAAATGCCTGATTATACCACCGCTTTTAATGATTCTATAAACTCAGATAGCCCGTCACTGAATAGGTATCTTGCAATGTTGATTTCTACCAAGCACTTCAGCTCCTGTTTAATAGAGGACAATATCAACTTGCGCCTGGCGACAGACTTCGCGTGTTGAACATCACAGGATACGACAGACATCCATCAATTGTCTGAAACGGCCGATATATATATTTTTATATATATAGATATTTTTAGCCCTTATATCTTTACTCAAGAGTTGTGCCAGTGCAGAAATCGCCAAATGATTCGATGAAATGTTTTCTTTTAAACATTGCAATATTTTTATTAAATCAAACTAAAAAGCAATTTACAAAACAATGTGCTTATTATTGCCGCACAGGAATGCGAATAAGGAACCGCCGGGAGAGAGACGGGTTATTTTCTCAACCTTGGAAATTTCCAAAGTTATACCGACTTATTCACTGAATTAATGATAATATTAGAATAAGAATATGAATATCTTTATTGCTCTCTAATGTTAATTACATAAATCAGTGTTGCCTTGACTACTTAACTAGGATTCCTGTTTTTAAGTAGCCAAGGACTTCCCTTACAAAGTTATACATTTTTGGTGAGAAACAAAAGGAAAATTTACTATTCTTTATTAATTTTAAGAAGTGAAATTAAAATATATTTCCTCTTATATATATATATATATATATATATATATATATATATATATATGTGTGTGTGTGTGTGAGGGTGTGAAAATGAAGGTGCGAGTTGTAAGTTGTGTGTGTGTGTATCGTTTTATTAAACTTCAACAAACATTGCCTGAAAAGTTCTTGTAAAAATGGTACCAAAGTAAAATCAGCTAACAAAAAAACCATAAAACACGGTTTGTGCGCGTCCCATGTCGGGTAGAAGTCCATCTCAATAGAAGTCTTGTAAATGCGTAACTTTTTTTTTTGCAATAAGCGAGCTATACGACTGCTATTCTGTGAATTGAAGAATCATATAAATTAGAACATTTTACATTCGTCGTTTTAATACTTGTATAATACAATCAGTAAATTATTTAAAAAATTTCAACAAGTGTGTTCTAGTAACAAAGTACAAGTAGGTAAAGTGATCTCAATCGTGCTTGAAACCCTGCAACCTTG